ACAACTGAGTCATTTATTTTGTGGAATTTTAAATATGAACAAAGAAATCCGTTTCTCCTCGCTCTCCTCCCAGTTGGAAAACATCCAAAAACAGAAACAGAAAAGACAAATTGCGTCTGAAACAAGCAAAAGACTGACGTTGTCTGACGTTCAGGCAATATCGCACAATAAAGCTGCTGTTTGAATGTGGTTTACACCCTAAATGCTGAGAAATCAGTTCCTTTGAATATGACTACTACATGAGCACGTGTTTTACACAGAAGTTACCAGATACACACGAGGCTGTTTCTGCATCAGTTACAACACAATGAGCGTGGACAGCACACAGCTGTTTTCACAAAGTACTTCTTTTCTTTGAGGAATATCTACTCGACTCAGGAGCTGCTGCCCTGTCACATTGCCACATCTACTTTTCTACACTGGAATTCACTCTGTCCAAAGTAGCAAGCTCTTCCTGCTCTAAATAAGCAGGAAGTAGCAGCAGGAAAATAATGCAAATACGCAGAGAACACCCCACTCATAGATATGCAAAACACCATCAGAACAAGTAATTAATAGATGAGATGTGTACTTAGACACATAAAAGCAAACATGGAATGCGTACGCAATTGCCCGCAGACATTTTTAATTATCCGTGTAAGCTTAGAACTAAATAGGAAGATTAAACAGTGCTTTGTTTCCTTTGAACCTTCCAACGTTGTCCCAACGTATTAATACTTAATTGCAATAACCTACTTGAACTGGTTTGTCAAAGTTCTCATGGAAAACAATGTTTACCGATATTTTTTTGCTTTATTAATACCCAAGTGTGAGATATGTGCACAATAAGAAACTATTTGGACCTTTCTTTGCTCTCAGTGTTTTCCTCCACAGTGTAGAGAAGATGCCATCAGTCCAGTCATTTGTGGCCACATCTAGTCTGCCAAACATCTGAGGTGCAGTAATGGCTTTGGGGTTCATGCGCATCTCTCTGTGAGAATGACCACATTCTGGAAGAAAATTAGATATTAGCAGAAACATGTTCTGTTTTCCTAAAGTTAATATAATGGATAATATAATACTTTAATGGAGCAATAATTATATTAAACACATGACAAGGTCACAAACTAACAATATTACCCTAAAAATATGTAGATTTAATAAGATACCCCATAAATTAAATAGATATCTTGTCCCAGTTCTGTTCACATATTCGTGTCTACAGTACAATAGATTCAAAACAAGCTTACCACAAGTTGGTGTCTTTTTCTTTAAGCTCACATGCGACAAAATACACTGAATCCTACCTGTCATAGCTTTCATAAGCGTGTGTATACAAGTTGTCTTTCCAGCTCCACTTGGCCCCAGGGCCATCATGCCATGTCGGACTCTTTGAGTCTCGTACAGCTGGATGACCTTTAGCTTCCAAGGAGGATGGTTGATTAGGCCTGCATCCTCCACCTGAAGAAACAAAGTAGTTACAATTCCAGCTATTTTTGTAACAATAATGCTTTTACTGTATTTA